TTATTCACTGGGATCAACCTCTGAAATCTGACAAATCTGTTCATCTGCAAAACACGCCAAGACTGTTCCAGAACCACAGTTACCATGAATCTGAAACCTGGTGTTATTCCCACATGCTAACGAGGAGCATAGATCTGTAAAGACAGTGCTACTAACTCGCCGTATGACACTGTTAACTAAAAAGTCTGATTCTAGATCGAGGACATAACATAAAAAAGTTTATTGTCAGGTCTGACTCTACCAGCGAGAGCTGAACAGCCCCACGCTGTGTGTTTACCTCAGAGTTAGCTTGAGGCTACATCACCGCGGGTGAGGGGAGGCAGGCTCATAGCCAAAGAAGTGTTTAGTTTGGGGTGACATCACCTCTATGCAAGAAATAGAATTGACAAGTTTGAAGTGATATAATTATCACTCGTGCTTAAGACGGACTGTGAAAAATGAAGAAGAGCAAAATATGGGACTTTTAAGTCCAAAACAGTCGTCTGTACAGAGCAGCCGAAGGCACAATGTTCATAAATCAATAAGGTTATATCAAGCCCCGGTGATCCAATAAAGTCTGGATTTAAAGAAAACCACAGGATTTAAGAAGAAAAAAAGTTCAGGAAGACGAGGGACACTAAAATCCACACAAAATCCGACCTTTATGAAAGCTGTAGGTTCTCTGTCAGGTTCTCTGTCAGGTTCTCTGTCAGCTGAGGTTGAGCTGTTTTGTTTTACATTGAGTTCTATGGGACTTTTTCTGGGTAGCCAGCGTGAATTTAGTCTACAGTACCACAGCGCCCCCTGTGGCCATGGATGGGACAGCTATAAGCTAGTTATACTCTATCCAGTTATTATTATAGATCCATGGGTGCAAAAAGTGAATGAAGATGAAATGTTTTGAACGTTGATGGATGAAAAAGGTGGAGAGGCCTCTTGTTCACAGAGCAGTGCTCCCAGGGTCCTAGTGCTGTGTCCTGCAGATCCTCAGGTAGAATTTCCTGGGCTGCCAACAGAGCGTGCAGTGAGTAAAAGCTCAACGTGCTTCACCTCCTCCTTTTGTTCCACTTTTCCGTATTTACAAGTTCATAAACAAACAGTGAATTGTCAGAGCCGTGTGCACAAAGAAATGTGCTTATTTCTCCAATCGCTTTGAGCTGCAGTCGCTGCTGTCATCCCCCCCAGCCCCCCCTCCACCCCCTCCTCCCCACCTCCTCCCACCTCCTCCCACCTCCCTTTGCTCCTGAGATAGCAAAACATACCAAAGCTGTAGCTTTACCAGTATGTACCGCACAGAGCCAGAGTAGATCCAGATCCAGCACCAGGAGATTATCCCTGTGGGCTTTACACTATTTTCAGATCATTTATATTTTAAATATTTTTCAAACAAGTTCAAGTATTCAGACTTCCGCCAAGAGGAATTGTTCCATTCTTTAAAACAATCCTGGAGACAGTAATCTTTAGTTTCTGAGTATTCCTGATTTAAACAGAAAATATCACAAATTAAATCATCGCTGGAGATTGTATTACCATCAGGAAGCAATGATTCACCATTTGATTGAAAACATATTGAATTTTAATAGGACTTGGATTGGAACTTTTAATTATAGTTAAAACGGATTAAGCTTAATGCATGTAACACTTTCAGTCAGTGTTTTTCTACTTGATCAAAGCAACATATTTATTGTCAATGAAACTCTGATAGTGTTGTGTCTGCTGCGTTTCACAGTGTCTTCAGCTGAGACATAAACTATTAAAGGAGCAGTTTGTAAAAATGTGGCCAAAAGTGGTACTGCAGCCCCTCCCACTCTCCCTGACTCAGGTTGCCAGATATGCAGATGAATCCAGCTGGGACCATAACAGCTGAATAGACAAGAGTTTTGTCAACAACAAATCTATAACCAACACCTTTTTCACAAAGATAGAAATCCTGGTTTTATTCCTTGTTTTGTCGTTAATGATTTGAGAATCATAACGAGACCTTTTTTAGTTCTGCGCCACATGGTACTTTACCAGTGAGATTAGCTCCACACTGTGAGTTCTGGCGCCCGGATCACAGACTTTCATGATTGGTGAAAAGGTGGAGGGCGGGACATCGAAATGAAACTAATTTTATTATTATTTTTATAATATTAATTTGGAAATCCGCACATCTCGCCTGAACTACTGTAATCAGTTAAACATATATCAAAGGAGCATGGTTTATTCATGCCTTTTGAAAAATATAGGGCCCTTTAACGATGACTTGAAATGAAAATGGCTGCAGAGGAGCATAAACTGTATCACCCCTTATCACTAAAACAAAGTAGTTTCATTGCAACTCATGAACACAACCATGTTTTCTCTTTTCATTCCTCTGTCTTTGACTTCGCCTCAGATCAAGTGGCTCCCGGGGGCCCACGGATCACAGGCCCAGACAATAAGTCAGAAACAGAGACTTGAGACCCCACAACACACACATCCCGTCTGCAGGCTACAGAGCGGCACACGGAACACACACATCCCGTCTGCAGGCTACAGAGCGGCACACACACACACACATCCCGTCTGCAGGTTACAGAGCGGCACACACACACACACATCCCGTCTGCAGGCTACAGAGCGGCACACGGAACACACACACATCCCGTCTGCAGGTTACAGAGCGGCACACACACACACACACATCCCGTCTGCAGGTTACAGAGCGGCACACGGAACACACACACATCCCGTCTGCAGGTTACAGAGCGGCACACGGAACACACACACATCCCGTCTGCAGGCTACAGAGCGGCACACGGAACACACACACATCCCGTCTGCAGGCTACAGAGCGGCACACACACACATCCCGTCTGCAGGTTACAGAGCGGCACACACACACATCCCGTCTGCAGGTTACAGAGCGGCACACACACACATCCCGTCTGCAGGTTACAGAGCGGCACACACACACACACACACACATCCCGTCTGCAGGTTACAGAGCGGCACACACACACATCCCGTCTGCAGGTTACAGAGCGGCACACGGAACACACACACATCCCGTCTGCAGGCTACAGAGCGGCACACGGAACACACACACATCCCGTCTGCAGGTTACAGAGCGGCACACACACACACACACATCCCGTCTGCAGGTTACAGAGCGGCACACACACACATCCCGTCTGCAGGTTACAGAGCGGCACACACACACACATCCCGTCTGCAGGTTACAGAGCGGCACACGGAACACACACACAGGAAGGAACCCGTCTGCAGGTTACAGAGCGGCACACAACACACACACATCCCGTCTGCAGGTTACAGAGCGGCACACACACACATCCCGTCTGCAGGTTACAGAGCGGCACACACACACACATCCCGTCTGCAGGTTACAGAGCGGCACACACACACACACACATCCCGTCTGCAGGTTACAGAGCGGCACACACACACACACACATCCCGTCTGCAGGTTACAGAGCGGCACACACACACATCCCGTCTGCAGGTTACAGAGCGGCACACGGAACACACACACATCCCGTCTGCAGGTACAGAGCGGCACACGGAACACACACACATCCCGTCTGCAGGTTACAGAGCGGCACACACACACACACATCCCGTCTGCAGGCTACAGAGCGGCACACACACACACACATCCCGTCTGCAGGTTACAGAGCGGCACACACACACATCCCGTCTGCAGGTTACAGAGCGGCACACACACACATCCCGTCTGCAGGTTACAGAGCGGCACACACACACATCCCGTCTGCAGGTTACAGAGCGGCACACACACACACACATCCCGTCTGCAGGTTACAGAGCGGCACACACACACACACATCCCGTCTGCAGGTTACAGAGCGGCACACACACACATCCCGTCTGCAGGTTACAGAGCGGCACACACACACACACATCCCGTCTGCAGGTTACAGAGCGGCACACACACACATCCCGTCTGCAGGTTACAGAGCGGCACACGGAACACACACATCCCGTCTGCAGCAGAACTGTCCGTCACTCTGTCTGCTGAATAAACCACCGGAGGATAAAAGTCTGTGCAGAGACGTGGATATCTAACACAACATTCTAAGTATTCATGGGATTAACAGAGTTTTTGTCATAATCTTGAAGTGTGGATTAGTGAGAAAGATTAAACGGATAATATAGGCTGTCGTGTTTGCCATATTATATTTTTATATTTGTATATGCCTCAAAGTTCACCAAGGTTCATAAGTCACATCCCCCGCCCCGGTTTCACGTCGAGGGTAAAATCTGTTCTGTTTAGCTGTGCTACAACTGAGTCACCCAGTCCCTGTGCTCCTCAGAGTCCCAGCAGGAGGCCAGTCCCTGTGCTCCTCAGAGTCCCAGCAGGAGTCCAGTCCCTGTGCTCCTCAGAGTCCCAGCAGGAGGCCAGTCCCTGTGCTCCTCAGAGTCCCAGCAGGAGGCCAGTCCCTGCGCTCCTCAGAGTCCCAGCAGGAGGCCAGTCCCTGTGCTCCTCAGAGTTGGTTGATATGAGACTAACATGTCACAGAGGTACTTTGAGACCATGGAACAAACAGCGCTGATTTAAAGTCTATTCTCTGAGCCACAGGTGCAGAGACCTGAGGACTGGACTAATGTGGTCGTACTTCCTGGTTCTCGTCAGGTGACCAGTGTAAATACTGGAACTGTTTTAAAGCACATTTGGGAAAACACTCTTTTAAATGACCTAACGGCTGCATGTAGAGTACGTTGGATCCTAGATCCTGGGCCCCTTCCCAGGATCTGCAGCCGTGGCCCTGTTTACAGCTGCAGATCAGGATCATTAACATTCCATTAATTATTTATTTAAAATCAATGTAATTCCTGCTAAATACCCCCCCTTAAATATTAAATATACGTTTCAGACCAATAATGCAGTAAAATGTGAATATATAAATGTGATATAATACTTTATAATACTCAGAAACACTGATAATTGAATATAGTTCCATATGATCAGGCGAGAGGAGCCGCGGACACACTCTCTCTCTTCAGGTGAGAACACTCTGTGGATGTTACTGCTGCCCTCTGTGTGTAAATACAGCGAGGATGTGGAGAACATGCAAAACAGTCTCATCTGCAATAATAATGTGGACTCAGCTCTAAAGGAGACATTGTGTAAAATGATCCATACCCTCTGCTTCTCAGGAAACTGTGTGTTAGCTTAAAGTGATCAGCAAACAGTGATAGCAGCGGTTTGCACGTGTGAAACTGAAACTAACATGTGTCATTGTGTAATAAGTGTAAGTTTGTGTGACTAACTGGATTCTTTATTTTTGAGGGATTTAAATAGACTTTACTTTTTGTGTCAATCTGTACATTTCTGTTTCTTAACTCTTGAGATGCCACGGTTGGCTAAGCTGACAATATGTGGCACACACAGATTTACACTGTTTTTGTATTTCCCAGAATCCGAGTGTGGTTCTGTGTGAGTTCTGTTTGTGTGTTCATGTCCCAGCGATCTGTGTCTGTCAGTGTGTGTGACGTCAGTTGGTGTGTGTGACGTCAGTTGGTGTGATGTCAGTTGGTGTGTGTGACGTCAGTTGGTGTGATGTCAGTTGGTGTGTGTGACGTCAGTTGGTGTGTGTGACGTCAGTTGGTGTGTGTGACGTCAGTTGGTGTGACGTCAGTTGGTGTGTGTGACGTCAGTTGGTGTGTGTGACGTCAGTTGGTGTGTGTGACGTCAGTTGGTGTGTGTGACGTCAGTTGGTGTGTGTGACGTCAGTTGGTGTGTGTTACGTCAGTTGGTGTGTGTGACGTCAGTTGGTGTGACGTCAGTTGGTGTGTGTGACGTCAGTTGGTGTGACGTCAGTTGGTGTGTGTGACGTCAGTTGGTGTGACGTCAGTTGGTGTGTGTTACGTCAGTTGGTGTGTGTGACGTCAGTTGGTGTGTGTGACGTCAGTTGGTGTGACGTCAGCTGGTGTGTGTGACGTCAGTTGGTGTGTGTGACGTCAGTTGGTGTGTGTGACGTCAGTCGGTGTGACGTCAGTTGGTGTGTGTGACGTCAGTTGGTGTGTGTGACGTCAGCTGGTGTGACGTCAGCTGGTGTGTGTGACGTCAGTTGGTGTGTGTGACGTCAGTCGGTGTGACGTCAGTTGGTGTGACGTCAGTTGGTGTGTGACGTCAGTTGGTGTGACGTCAGTTGGTGTGTGTTACGTCAGTTGGGTGTGTGTGACGTCAGTTGGTGTGTGTGACGTCAGTTGGTGTGACGTCAGCTGGTGTGTGTGACGTCAGTTGGTGTGTGTGACGTCAGTTGGTGTGACGTCAGTCGGTGTGACGTCAGTTGGTGTGACGTCAGTTGGTGTGTGACGTCAGTTGGTGTGACGTCAGTTGGTGTGTGTTACGTCAGTTGGTGTGTGTGACGTCAGTTGGTGTGTGTGACGTCAGTTGGTGTGACGTCAGCTGGTGTGTGTGATGTCAGTTGGTGTGTGTGACGTCAGTTGGTGTGTGTGACGTCAGTTGGTGTGACGTCAGTTGGTGTGACGTCAGCTGGTGTGTGTGACGTCAGTTGGTGTGTGTGACGTCAGCTGGTGTGTGTGACGTCAGTTGGTGTGTGTGACGTCAGTCGGTGTGACGTCAGTTGGTGTGACGTCAGTTGGTGTGTGACGTCAGTTGGTGTGACGTCAGTTGGTGTGTGTTACGTCAGTTGGTGTGTGTGACGTCAGTTGGTGTGTGTGACGTCAGTTGGTGTGACGTCAGCTGGTGTGTGTGATGTCAGTTGGTGTGTGTGACGTCAGTTGGTGTGTGTGACGTCAGTTGGTGTGACGTCAGTTGGTGTGACGTCAGCTGGTGTGTGTGACGTCAGTTGGTGTGTGTGACGTCAGTTGGTGTGTCTTACGTCAGTTGGTGTGACGTCAGTCGGTGTGACGTCAGTTGGTGTGACGTCAGTTGGTGTGACGTCAGTCGGTGTGACGTCAGTTGGTGTGACGTCAGTTGGTGTGTCTTACGTCAGTTGGTGTGACGTCAGTTGGTGTGACGTCAGTTGGTGTGTGTGACGTCAGTTGGTGTGTCTTACGTCAGTTGGTGTGTGTGACGTCAGTGTGTGTGACGTCAGTTGGTGTGTGACGTCAGTGTGTGTGACGTCAGTTGGTGTGTGTGTGACGTCAGTGTGTGTGGCGTCAGTTGGTGTGTGTGACGTCAGTTGGTGTGTGTGACGTCAGTTGGTGTGTGTGACGTCAGTTGGTGTGTGTGACGTCAGTGTGTGTGACGTCAGTTGGTGTGTGTGTGACGTCAGTTGGTGTGACGTCAGTTGGTGTGTGTAACGTCAGTGTGTGTGACGTCAGTTGGTGTGTGTGACGTCAGTTGGTCTGTGTGACGTCAGTTGGTCTGTGTGACGTCAGTGTGTGTGACGTCAGTTGGTGTGACGTCAGTTGGTGTGTGTGACGTCAGTTGGTGTATGTTACGTCAGTTGGTGTGACGTCAGTTGGTGTGTGTGTGACGTCAGTTGGTGTGTGTGACGTCAGTTGGTGTGTGTGACGTCAGTTGGTGTGTGTGTGGCGTATTCTGGTGACATCTAGTGGATTAATATATAATTACATCAGTTGAAGCCACTGCTGCTGAGTTAATTCAGTGTCTTAGTTTCAGGTGTGTATCTCTACAATTATCTTAGTGTGTAAACAAAGGAATGAGACTTTCTGGTGTAAACTATTGCTTTAAGCAGCGATGACTACTGTCTGTTTTTTGTGTGTGACAAGAGAGCTGTCAATCATAGCCCAGACCACGCCCAACTCTAAGCCCCCCTTCTTGTCCCTTGGTCCTCCAGGCAACGCCCTTTTTAGAGAAAGTCTTCATGTGGGCGGAGTCAGGCTGTTCATGTGGGCGGAGTCAGGCTGGGCACAGGTGTTTAGTTGCTCAATGTCAAAATTGAACGTTTTATGAACAAACCTGGCGCCTAAAGGGTTAAACCTCTCATATGCTTTGTTTAATTTGATTCAATTAGTTTTTCTTTAACTGACTTCTGACTAACGACAATAATAACTCACAGCGTTTCTGATCCAATCCCAGCGTTTATCCGTGCAGAGGTGTGTCCAGAGCAGCGTGTCGTCCCCTGGCAGAGGCGCCTGTAAACGACCATGTGTTGCACTTTGATGGTGCGTATAAAACCATCTGCGAGTGACAGTTTTCGGAGCAAGTTTGATTGTTTGTCAAATACATTCCAAATAAAAGTTTATAGCGTGAGTTTACGGCCACATAAACGCCACGTCCTGTGCTGGGAACACTGATTGGGACGCTGTTTGTGTTGGCACGTCTCACAAAGTGCTGCCTGTGATTAGTGCAATCATCAGGAGGCGTTTTATCCCATGAAATATGAAGACTTATTAGAGTAAACTATAAAACTGACTGTAGGTTCAACAAATGCACTTCAGATGTAATGAAAAAACCCAAAAACAGATTAAGCAGCACCAAAAAACTGTGATTATTTTAACAGCTGCCCCCAAACCGCCGACATCAACCCAGCGCCTTAAGATCGATCATAATTCTGTGGTGCGTGTTCTGCTCTAGCCAGGTCTTACCACACCATAGTACTCATTTCATTTCATACTAAGGTCTGTATTGGCTCTATTGACTCCGTTAACAGGTGGGAGGGGCTAACTCCTTTTACAGATTGAAACCATTGGATCTGAGTTTACCGTGACATATGTAATGAGCCCGAGTGAGTGAGCCATTTAGGGGCGGCACGGTGGCTGAGTGGATAGCACTCTCGCCTCTCAGCAAGAAGGTCCTGGGTTCGAATCCCGGTTGGACCAGGGCCTTTCTGAGTGGAGTTTGCATGTTCTCCCCGTGTCTGCGTAGGTTTCCTCCGGGTACTCCGGTTTCCCCTACCACAAAAAATATGTACAATAGGTCTGGCATGTGCCTCCTGTACTGGCACCCCCAATCCCAAAAAAATAACAATTGTAAACCGCTTTGAGACTCCGATGTGCAGTGAAAAGGCGGTATATAAATAAAGATTACAAAGATTACATTTAGCATTTAGCCTAGCTTTAGCATGTAGCCTAGATTTAGCCATCTCCTTTGCCACTAACGGAGCCCGTGGGGAGTAGAGCCACAACATCTTTGCAGCAATGACATTTACTAAACATTCCTCTTGCTCCGGCTTCAGTTTCTTGATGTTTGGATTGAACCAGTTGGTCGAGTGTTGGCCTTTGGGTCTAATGGTCATGTGTTCAATCCCCCCACAAGACCTACTCCATTTGCTCCCACTGAAGTCGGCTGCTGGAGTGTCCCTGGGCAAGACACTTTGCCTGAAGCCCCCACAGAAAGAGCAAGACTGTGTCATCCTGACCCAGAGATGGATTAATAAAGGGGATGTTCATGAATGAAGGACTAATCTAATCTCCTTCCCTACCCAACGGAACACACACACAGAGACACACACACACACCCACAGAGACACACACGCACACACACACACACAGAGAGACACACACGCACACACACCCACAGAGACACACACACACACACACAGAGACACACACGCGCACACACACCCACAGAGACACACACGGCACACACACACAGAGACAGAGAGACACAAAGACACACACACATACACGCACAGAGACACACACGCACACACACACAGAGAGACACAAAGACACACACACACACACACCCACAGAGACACACACACACACACACAGACAAACAGAGAGACACAAAGACACACACGCATACACGCACAAACACAGAGACAAACACAACATCAAGACACAATCACTGAATATACTTTTGTTTTTGTGTTGAAAACCAAATCAAGACTGGGACTTAAAAAAAATTGCATCCAGTTTTTGATTTTTAAGAAAAAGAAAGTGAAACACAAGTGTGGAACTCTGAGCAGATGCATTACAAGTACACACGGCGGTGGAAGCAAACAGTTTCCACACTTCCTGTGCAGACGGATTGTGAGTTCAAATGAAAAGTGCTCGGTGTGTTACCATTATTCATCTCATGATTTAGGAGCTGGAACGTGCCTTTCATTTTCCACACTGCAAAGGTTGATGGGAAATAAAATCCCATTCATCAATGACACATCTTTATCTGTGATACCAACAGCCCTGCCTCTGTGTCTACCCCTCCCCCATTATCAGCCCTCACAGCTCCCCCCTACCGTGTGCTCATTTACCGGGCCCCTCGTCTCCAAGCAGGTGGGTAAGAGACCCCCCAGTATCTACCCATCGCTCACCTCTCCGTTATCACATGTGGGAGGCCGAGATGAGTGCTAGCAAGAGGCAGTCACACAGGATGGATAGCCCAGAGCTGTGGTCAGTGCCGGAGGGGTCTGCTCTGGTCGGCATTGTCCTGTTTGTTCAGACCAGTGTTTTCCAACCGGTGGGCCGTGGAACATTGGTGTGTCTTGAGGTGTTTGTAAGTGAGCCTTAAGGCGCGTTCAGACCAAAAGCTTCAAAAAGCTTTTGACGCGCTTCAACTGACGCCGGGATAGTTTTGTCATTTTGGTGGTTGAAGCTTTTGACGCGAGTGACGCGCCTGACGCCGGTGGGAGGAGCTTCTCTGTTGTCAGGACAGCGGTGGATTTTTCAATGAGCAGCGAGCCTTTATTTGTTATATAAAGCAAAATAACGTTGTTGTAGGGCTTCAACAAAACATGTTCTGGGTTCACCACAGACTTGAGAGGCTGCAGTGTTTGCAGAGTTCCGTCATTTACTCCAGGAGCTGCGTACGGAGGAGTTTCGCTTTCAGCGGTACTTCCGCATGTCACTCGCCCAGTCTGAGTTCTCAAACCCCGGAGCTCGCGTCTCCCCGCCTCGCTCTCGCCTCTCCCCGCCTCTCCCCGGCTCTCGCTCGCCTCTCCCCGGCTCTCGCCCGCCTCTCCCCGCCTCTCCCTGCCTCTCCCCGGCTCTCGCTCGCCTCTCCCCGGCTCTCGCCCGCCTCTCCCCGCCTCTGCCTCTCCCCGGCTCTCGCCCGCCTCTCCCCGGCTCTCGCCTGCCTCTCCCCGGCTCTCGCTCGCCTCTCCCCGGCTCTCGCCTGCCTCTCCCCGGCTCTCGCTCGCCTCTCCCCGGCTCTCGCCCGCCCGGAGCTGCCTTGCTCTGAGCCAGACTCATCGTCAGCCTGTTCTTATATTAAATAAACTACGTTTACTACACAGCATGTGTACAATGATTTTTGTTACTCAGAACGTTACTACTTATACAAATAATATTACTAATAACAATAATGACAATAAAACAGCAGCAGCAGATACATGACTTCTCTCCATGACAGAGACAGACCCTCTGCTGCTGCTGCTCCTCGTCTCCTGATTGGTTGAAGCCCGCGTCAAAGCTTCAAAAGCTCAGCTTTGCTCAACTTCGGCGTCAAAGGGATTGTTGTGATACGCGAGCGTTTCGCGCTTCAAAAGCTTCAAGTGAGCGCGTATTACGCGCGACTCTTGAAGCTTTTGACGCGCGCCAAGTGACGCCGGGGCTCTCGGCTTCACCTGACGCGCTTCACCATTCACTTTCAATGCAAACCTGACGCGTTTGACGCCGAAGTTAAGTCCGGTGTGAACGCCCCTTTAGAAATGATCCAAAATCCACTGCTTAGTTAAAATCATGTGAAAAGAAAATAACATGAGATGATTAGAAAGACTTTTTTGTGCTTGCTTGATTTTCTTTGTAATACACATGAGTAAGAATGAGTTTGCTTTGTTAATAAAGGCTGTAGAGTTTGTGATTGGTTGCAGTGACAAAGGTATGTGCCACGACTCAAAACGATTGGAGAACTGTAAATATAAACAAATATAAACATGTTGAAACTAATGTGCCTTCACTATTGCCTTCTGTGGCTCTGTCAAAATGGCCGCAAGGCAGGAAAATGTGAAAAAAAACTAATTTGCGCATGTGCCAGCCAGGATAAGCCCCATTCATTTAACGAGTGAATTCAATAGTCCACAGCGGCAAAACTAGACTGGTCCAACAACAACAACAAAACTCAACATCGAGAGAATCTGGAACGTAGCTTTGGACCAAGAGCCACTTTTGGACCATCCTGTGAAGAGGTTTTCGAGAGGAAAGAAGACGGCATTCAAAAGCAGTGAATGATTCTCTTTCCGGGTACACCCCCACCACCCGCAGGAAGTCGTAATGCATGGTCTGCGCACGTGCTTATGGACGTTTTTGAGCCGGGACCCGCCCCCACTGGTTAAGACTCATGC